TTGAGCGGCTGTAGAACAAAGAGTTTTTGTGGTATAGAATTGAGATTTTGCAGATGTTGGCTACATAGGTTGTACATAATTCCATAGAATTTTTGTTTCAAACTGAATAAAATTTCAGGAGTTATAAGACTTTTAGTGAGCTCTGTTTTTTTTGTGTCACCCTGTAGTATATGTTCCTTTTATAGAATATTGTTTCTATGAGTTTAAATTTGATGGGCAGCTGCAATGTGCCCGATTTTTATTTTTAAAAGTTGAGGCTAAAAATTGGTTTTCGAAATTCCCTCAATTTAGAGAGACTTTCCTTTTAATTGCAACATGAGTTACGATTGGGTTATTTGTTAAAAGCAATAAGTTCCTCTTGATACGATCTGGTTATATATCATCACTCTTTGTTAACCGGGCTTTGCTCGGAATCGCTAATCCAAACAATTTTAGATCATCGTCGGTGGAGGACGAAGTTAGAGGATATATTTAATTTTATTTATATTACAGTCAAAATATGAATTCAATATAAAGTTAAGGCGCAAGCGTTGAGGTGGCAAGGAATGTGAGATTAAGCGATGTCGTGTATACGACTGTAGTGTTCGAGTCCGCGCTTCAAGTTTGTTTTCATCTCTTGGTGCCGCAAAAAAGTCAATGCCGTGGTGTCGAAAAATGTGTCGTCTTCTGCTGCTGCTGCGGTCTTATACTTTGCATAAGCTAGTAATAGAAAATAAAAGAGGTGGCGTAGAGTGGTCAAAAAGATGAAGGAGAAATGGAAAGAACAGCAAGAGTTGAAAAAGGTGCATAGCGCATGATTGGGTGCGCTTGCTTCTAAGTGCGTTTGGTTTAGTTGGGTTTGAGTGGGAACCCGTCAGGGTATTGGACAATTTAGATTGAGGGGTGGTGGTTCTTCGTTTAAATTATAGACATTTTTTAGCACAGTTAACAAAAATAAATATTATGCGTGCTTTCAGTATTTTCATACGTTTTCGAGCTTTTTCAACTTCTTCGTCTACGGAAAGGGAAATTAGGGTAAATTATGTGCATGTGATTCTCGCTACAAAATATACAGCATACTATTTATATCATTTAACCCTTCAGCGACCAATTTCCTTGCGAGTGCAAAATACTGTATATTGCATCCATTCCACATTGCTAATGTTCGTTCATTTAAAAAAGATGATAGGTGACATACAGTATATGCCCACCTGGTTGTAGAGCAGCCATATTAAAGGCGATATACTGTACCAATGGACGAATGAGCTTCATACATAAACAAAAAACGCTATTTTTAAAGGCAACATAGAGCCGAACAGCTGGACGCTAATGGATTAACCTGAATTCGTAAACATAAATAACAAATCAACTATCAATTTTGGTCCTCGTCTTTCCGCCCTTTCTTGCAAAGCCTTGCCATTCTCCTAGTGAAATAATATTTTCCGGCTAATATCCCGGCACGATAAATATCCTGGATACGCGCCCCAACAGCCCCTATATACAATATCCCGACACGATAAGTATCCTGGATACGCGCCCCAACAGCCCCTATATACAATATCCCGACACGGTAAGTATCCCGGATACGCGCCCCAGCAGCCCCTTTATACAATATCCTGGCACGGTAAGTATCCTAGATACGTGCATAACAGCCCCTTCATACGTATATGCGGAAATTGAAACAATTTGTTTTCCGTCATTGAAGTTTTTTTGATTTTTCGATTCTGGTTAAGCATCTTCATTCGAGAAATCATGATGTAATTGGACGCGACGAAGCTCTACACGTGGCGATAACCAAACGATGGAATTCCGAGACTTGCCGTATCTCACCAAGCGTGTTAACCGCACCAGCTGGTGCAGTGCAAGGTTACGTGACGTAGTGCCAGTATACACAGAAAACTATCAACATATTGGTGTGTTCGTGATTAAGATAGAATATTTTCACAAGTGGTATTTGCTTAATTTATTGACGCATCATCTAATAAATATCGTATTATTTTATAAGCTAATAATATTGTACTGTATTAAGAATACCGGGCATCTCGCTCTGTGTAAGAAATAGTTAGCCGGCCTAGAGATTTCATGCAGTTACGCTGAACGATATTAGAAAATTCTCGTAAAATAGAAAATAATTTATTTGCAGAAATATATGGAAAAAAACGCATTTTGATATTCAATATCCTTAACTTCGTGTCACTCACTTTTTTCAGATTAGTATACAAGCTAAATACCAAATTTCACATCTCGGCAATTTTAGGAAAGGATGGGATTTGTGAATATGCGATTCAAAGACCCAACATCTATTTATGCTATACCTATATGCTAGTATTGAACGATATTGTAAAGATTAGTTTTATACATGTGATATTCAGATGATAGTACCTAATTTTATTGGAGGTACCAATTGGCACATGACGCACCATTATGAAAAATAATCAATCTCACCCTCACAATATTGAATATAATAAATGAATAAAGTTTCTACAGTAATTTTCCGGTAACCTTCATTCATGCGGATGATAACCGGGGAACCTATCATCAGATAAGGAAAATGCGTTTCATTTAATTGCCAGAAATAATTATTTATCTTCTCTCGCAATAAGACAGAAGGTGAACGATGAAGGGATTTGTCATGTACTGGGAATCGCGTAGAGTTAATCAGGTGATGCAGGTAGCCAATAATGTTCATGTGATGCACACGCGGAGTATGTTCCGTATGACGCGCTACATCGTTTCAGGGAATCACATCAGGAGTGTGATCACACGGTGCCAGTCTCTCAACATGGCGGAAGCAATAATTGGAATATAAATAATATTTATTAAAATTAATTTTGAACACGAAAATTCAAAGTTATTCACAGTTCAGGATGTAACGATTATTACTAGTTTCGATTCGCCCAATTAGCCCGAATTTAAAATTATTTTATATTCGTTTCATTGAACTCCCACATCCCACACATGGAGAAATAATGGAAATGATCTCATAACCGTTTCACTCAATTAGCAGAGTCAAGCACCCGAGACGAAAATTCAAATATTTGGTCAACATTTGCAAAGAAACAATTGTTAATGTTTATTTAGAAATTCAATTAATCAGCATAAGTTCTTTCACTTCTTCCAAAAACTCTTTATACAGGGTCCTTCAAAAAAAGTCCCTGATTTCAATAGGCTTTTGCAAAAATCATACGACACATATAACAATACAATTAATATAATTAATTTTATTTGTAAATAGCTTATTAGATGCCATTTTACATCATATAGTACACTTTACTTGATTTTTGAAAATTATGTTCGATAAATGATGTCCCCCATTGTTTAGAGTTTAGACATTCACGAATTCTTTCCCTGAAGTTGCCCATAGCTCTTCGTGTAACTTCCCTTGGAATGGCTGCCACTTCCTGCCTAATGGCATGTTTTAGTTCTTGCAGATTTCTGGGACGATGTTTGTACACTTCAGCCTTTAGGTAGCCCCACAGAAAGAAATCGCAAGGTGATAAGTCGGGTGACCGTGGCAGCCATTCCAAGGGAAGTTACACGAAGAGCTATGGACAACTTCAGGGAAAGACTTCGTGAATGTCTTAACAATGGGGGAAATCATTTATCGAACATAATTTTAAGAACCAAGTAAAGTGTGCTAAGTGATATAAAATGGCATCAAATAAGCTATTCACTAATAAAATTAATTGTTCTTTATGAGTTGTATGATTTTTGCAAAAGCCTATTGAAATCAGGGACTTTTTATTGAAGGACCCTGTATGAGTGTACACGAAACTTCACTTCATAAAAAATCAGAAACATTAAAGTTTTTCGCATTAAAAATCGGAAATATTCAAGTTTTTTCCATTTAGGAAATTTTACTATTCTGTCGGTGCTAATTTTACTATGCTGCGTGACCCGAGTACAGCTCATCCAAGCCCCGGCCGCCTATATAAGACGCGGCTACCGTGACCCGAGCACAGCATCTTCAGTCGTCGAGCGAACAGCACGGCGCACCTCTCAGCGGTCTAAGAACTGAGCGGAAGACGTCAGTACTGTTGAACGGTGAGGAATGATGGACGTGTTACTATTTCCATGTTCATATCATTCAATTATGTTGCAATCTTTGTGGTTTGTTACTCTTTTGTTTAATGATAACTTAACGATTAAATGCTGACTCTATAATAAGTACAAAATCCTTCATTTCATTAACATGGCCACAACTTCCAGTCACTTTTTCTATCATAGACCGCATCTCACTTTATAAATGTGTTAGAATATTTATTTCAAAGTTGCCTGCGTGTTAAGAAAAATAGAAAATTTATTTGGTGAAACTTATTACGTGAACAAATATAATTATCAATTAAAGCACAACCTAAACAAATTTTTATTGGCGTAAGTGATAATTCAACTAATCAAGTGCACAAATGGAAAATGAAGATGTGATGAAGTGCAAACATAAGAAAGAGCATCCGTGAGAACCTGCGCAGGTGAAAAGATTATTGAACCTGCAGCCGAGGCCCATGACAAGATAAGAATAGTCAATTTGACACAACAAAAATGAAAATCTGCAACAAACGTGAATAAAATTATCGCAATCATTATGCGACAAAATTTTGACATATTCATAGACGTGACTCTCCATGTACAAACATTTTTAGGTTGAATTCCTGATAACGCCCAGTCTGATCTCAGATAACAGCCAGCAAAGCAAAAACACAAATAAATACATCCAAAAACATCTTATTGACTAGGTGCCTTCAGAAATTGTTCCACCCAATACCTAAGATAAAACCAATACCGTACCCGAGACGAACCCAACACCTGAGACGAACCCAATATCTGAGACGCATCTAATACCTGAGACGCAACCAATTCCTCAGTCGCACCCAATACATCAGACGCACCCAATACATCAGACGCACCCAATACATCAGACGCACCCAATACCTGAGGCGCACCCAAATCCTCATGCAGAAGAACCCAATATCTGTGGCGCACCCAATACCTCAGAAGAACCCAATACCTGAGGCGCACCCAATACCTCAGAAGAACCCAATACCTGAGGCGCATCCAATACCTTAGACGCACCCAATATCTTGCTAATACACTCTCATCACCTGCTCAACGGCGATAGGGCACCAGTGCGAAAGCTATACATATAGACGTCTGGGTTCGGTTGTCCCAGCATCACGACCATCACAAAAATATTCTTGAATACGCTCACGCCGAGCTAACTTCCTCAAATAAAAATTGAGAGTGGAGCATCTATGTTTTCATGATGGCTATCGGCTGAGGCTATAGGTGGAGCAACTATGATTTCTACAGTGAATTAAGGGCAGCGAGCACCACCTTTCTCACACCTATAACCTGACGATGGCCCCCCTCCATCTATCCCACACCCACCCTAAAGCTATTTTTCCGCCAATAATTACCTATTAACACCGGTGGTGCATTGATGAGCCATCGATGGCGACCTTTATACTGAAGTCAATGCAAAATTTGCCTGTAGTTTCGAATCCGAATATTATGAATTTACTGATATTGCTTCATACAAACACCATTTTGAGGGGGGATTATGCAAATCCACCATGACAGTACAAGTATCAATGTCAGACATGTATAGTAGGAACAAATTATCAGAGTACCATACACATACCTCGTGAGAAATCGACTTGAAGAAGAGTCCCTGCCTCTAAGATTCCAATTCCGATCTCCTACACGCGAAGCCGAGCCTTTACCGTTGAGCCATCGGAGATGACTTGTCACTAAAGTTATTTTAAATACTGAATAATTTTAAAATAAAATACGAAAATTTTTTATTTGAAGTAACTAATTTATTTGAAGTATTGCAAGTATTAATTTCATCAAATGACAGAGGTTACGTGATGATTACTACCGCCGCAATGATTAGATGGTTCCATCAACAATTTTATATGAACATGCTGCTATATTCGAGTAAATAGCCGCTGGAAGAATCTTCGTTTATTCATAACGAACGATTGTTCAGCTCTGAGCAAAGGCTACGGGAAAATGCTTGATAAGTATCGAAGTTTTATAATGTGAACATTACACAAATTTTGACAGCCGTTTGATTCGAAATATTTTCACCGTGAATAATCTTGCGTGAAAAGGATACTTTTTGTAAAAGGATACTTTTTTGACAAACAAATTACCCGAGAAGTGCATATTTAGAGCAGGGCCTGGGGCCGTATTATCAAAACTTCGTAAGTACGCACAATCGACTTAAGAGTGGCCAAAGTGCTGATATGATGACGTAACTCTAGCGGTAGTATTATCAAAACATTTGCGCGGGAAGATAAGTAACGTAACTGCACGCCTGCTCGGAGATGTCGTAAGTGGAGTTCCGCACGAAGAGTGTCTGCTAAAGCAATAGGAAACTATTGATTTGCTAGCAAGTAGCAAAACGGGGAATTGTGATAGAATTTTGTCAATAATCCGACATATAATATGTGATCGTGGTAAACGGTGCTTTTGGGATAAAAATGTCAATTGTCTTTGGTGCTATAATTTACAAGCAAATGTTGATATTCATATCTTAGAGTTTTATGATCATTCACTTGAACAATATCTTAATGCATTTTTGATTCAAAATTATATTGAGGTTGACAAGCAAACCATTTTTCTAGTTCTCTGTAAACAAATTTGTTTCTTTTTATGACAGTCGCAACTCCAATTCACGAAATTCAATTTCTAAATTCTTTGTAACCTTCTAAAAAATTCTTCTAATTTTGAATGGGAATAATGCATTTATTTGCCCATATTGCAAGAAATTTCGGTTAATGATCACAGCAACAAGTGCACAGAGGTGGGCAGTAGCACGCTACATGTAGCGGCCGCTACATTTTCAGTAGCAGTAGCGGCGCTACATTTAAGGCAATGTAGCGGTAGCGGTAGCGCCCGCTACATATTTAAGTAGCGATACGAGGTTTTGCCGCTACAGCGCTACCGCTATATTTATAGACAAAGCCTTTAGATTTTACTTAAGGGGGGTATACCCTCCAGAAAAACTTCCACATTTACTAACGGATCTCTCTGAAATTTCACACATATATGTAAAACCAAAATACAAGAACATTTTTTTTGGAAAAATTAATAGAAAACGTGAAATTCATAGAAAACGGACAAAAAGGGGTGCTGCTGAAATCTATCTCCTCCTAGGGTTTTCAAGCTACAACATTGAGACGCATATCATTCGATACGTAAAGACCATACCTATCGAGTTATCGAGCCCTTTTTTTATTTTTGCCTTAATATTTTTTACATGCATTTTTCCTTTTTCTTCTCATTTTTTTCTCATTTTCTTCAAATTTTCCTCCTCCCCCCCCCATTTTGAATCCAAACACCGCACAAATCTAAAAAAATAACTCAGTACTCACTGCAGTGAGTGACAGAGAGCGCATTTTCTCGTCGACGAAAACGTGAAGTCACGGACGGACAGACAGACAGACAGACGGACGGACAGACAGACGGACGGACAGACAGACGGACGGACAGACAGACGGAAATGGCGAGCACAATAGTGCATTTTTCTAAATTAGAAAATGCGCTAAAAAGGGCTTCGTTACGCGATAGATATGGTCTTTACGAATCGAATGGTATATGTCTCATCGCTGTAGCTTCAAAACTCTAGGAGGAGATAGGTTTGCCGTGACAATAAGTGTGAATGTTCAGGAGAGCGCGACAAAGCCCCGAGCGCATCGCAATAGGCACTCAATGTAGCAAGGATACAAAAATAATCTTTTTAGGAGATTGATTCCAGTCAAGGATGGTGGGAGCGACTGCAAGCACACCTCCTCATACGACGCCAGGCGGGTAACTAAGGTGCACCTCAAGCCGACACTCTATTTAAAGTGCTCGCAGCGAATTTCCTCCTATTCTATTTGTTAAAGAACTCCCCCACCCCCCTCCTTTTCATGATCTGTCGTGAACGCATAAATCAACGTACAGAGATGGTGATGGTACCATAGGATAGGGCAGAATGTCAGCTTTAAGATGAGACTAAAAACCGGAAAAGCCAATAACCGAAAATTTTAGGGTAGACGCCCCCCTTAAGTTGTTACCAGTTACCACTTACGGGTATTTTTTCATGTTTCAGTTTGCTTACAGTTATTTTTACAGTTATTTTTATGTTTCACCTTCCCTACATGGATGTCTACTATAATCTACCAATCTCAAAAATAATCCACATATATATACAAATAAAAGACTGATTTTTTATGTGTATATCTGGATAATTTTTGAGATTGGTAGATTAAAGTAGACATCCATGTAGGGAAGGTAAAACATAAAAATAACTGTAACTTTTATTTACTGTATCTAACCCGTACTAGTTCGGTTAGGTTAGTTGGAATAAAGTTGCATTGATACGTTTTGAAAATGTTTTATTATCGTTAAATGTTAATGAGTAAATCCCAATAGCAGAACAATAAATATTTAGAGATTTCCAATAATTTTGGCCATTGTAGCGGCTAATGTATCGGCGCTACATTTTACTGTAGCGGTAGCGGTAGCGCTCGCTACAATCTAGTGGGTATAGCGGTAGCGGTAGCGACCGCTACATTCAGAGCATGTAGCGGTAGCGGCGCTACATTTCAAAGTAGCGCTGCCCAGCTCTGCAAGTGCATTTTATTTGGATAACGTCTCACTCATTTATCCCAATACACCCTTGTCAGACACCGCAAATGCCGCTGACACCACACACCCTACTTTCGTCCAAGCGCACGGCGCACAGGCCGAAAGGAGCTTACTGGAGCTATAGGAAAAGCAAGTCCAAAGCCTCTGATTGGTCAGTTAGCCAGATGGTTTTGATAATACGCTTTTAGCAAAGTCTTGCGTACGAAAGTTTTGATAACGCCAAAATTAGGGTGTACTTCCGTAACACGTAACTTTTTTGTCGTAAGTACAAAAAGTTACGAAGTTTTGATAATCTGGCCCATGGTGAAGATTAGTAGGAAGCTCAACGCCAACGAGCGCGTCAACCCAACAAGAATGAACGTGAACATGTGCTCACTCAAATTCGACTTGCTCGCTGTTCATTAGAGATGCTGAACCACTTTCGACCACGTCAACGTGGCTTTAGAGTTTAGAGTTTGGATAAATGGAGCATTTTGAGATTATGTAAATATTATGAAACTCACTTAATCGATCCATACAATTTACACTTAATGATACAATAATTAGTCTCAATTGATCGCAATATATCCAGCACAGTCAGTAGGCGCATACGCAAAATTCGCAATAAATTTACGCAATATCTCACGTGAACATGAAAAATTGGATTCGCCGTCATCTTTCGAAAACTGAATTTTTAGCGACAAAATATTCCATTGTTCCTCGAACAATTTGTATCAGGAGCAGTCTGATACATGCCCAGTAGCTACTATTTGGCTTGACAAATTTGTGAACACCTTGCTTCTGTCTGTCAGTTTTACTCGTACCTACCGAATTCACGCTAAATTTTTGCTAAATTTTCTTACTTAACACAACTTAATCTTAAAAACCAAGCACACGGAACGAAGTCATTGTTTTGTCTTATTTACAGTGGCAAATACCTTCGTGCACTGTGTTGTTTGTGCAAACGGCTATAGGTGGCTTACCCGAGATTTGCCTGCAATGCACCATCGATGATTTAGACCCTATAAATCATTGATGATTCATTGATGACTGCCACCGATACTCGCCACCCTCTCGGTTTATTGGTGTTTTATTGTCGATTTTCGGCAGATCTGACCACCTAACGTTACGTCACCTATAATCAACTACCGCCATTTATAACCATCGATGCAACACCCGTAATTTTTATTTGGGTCGTCTGGTCGTCAGATACAAATTATTAACGCGGCCAGAGACACTAGCCCAGAACGCATACGGACTGACGAAACACGCCGAGAGTGACACACTCTAATGATAATAAAACATGACAGTACAATCTTGTCACTATTGTAACGAGCAATTCATATCCTCGCAGAAATCCAATTATGTTCTAAGCGCCTAGTTTAGCCTCTTGATGCCATTTCATTTTCTTCTTCTTCTATGCCGCTCTGCGCCACTACCCGTTTTTTTCTCCGATTTCCTTGTGACTGCGCAACTCCACTTCAATTTTCGTGCGTTCTTGCATCAACCTAATTGAAAATAATTCGCTCAACGTCTCCAGCACGTTAATCACTTATCAATGGCTTACAGAAACATAAAAATGCGCAAAGTTCTCATTTTTATAACATACGGTTGCATTCATTACCACAGTTATTAGGACGTTCTACAGTATGAACTTCAAATTAATTTTAGACAAATTCCTAAAGATTCCAAATGTTTTCGGCGAAAAATTAATATATTATTTCATTTGCAGGAGCAGAAGGTGACTTGAAAGGAAAGAAAAACTTCAAAAATGTATCGGGAAATTCTAACGGTAAGAGTGATGGCGACTGCATTGAGGAGAACTATAACAACAAGTTACCTACGACTGATACATGAATCTTAGGCGACATTTTATGCCTTGAGGGATAACAATTGTATTTTTACATAACATTATACAGTAAATCACATAGAAATAGACCAAAAGATTTCTATTTATCTCACCAGTGGAAAAAACAGTTGGATAAATTCAAATGGACTTAAAAATTTTAGTTTATCGGATGAATATAAAAGTATCATTTCACTAACACATTATGCTGCAGTCTGTATTAATAACATTTTTCAGAAAACCTAAGGTTTAGTTAATCATAAGTTTTTATCATTTTGCAGGTTTTGCTGATGGTCGCGGTGGCGGTCAGGTGAGGGTCGTAATTAACCTGCACTTAGAAAAAATGGATATGTCATGTTGTCCAAGTAGGACAACATGACACAAACTTCATTATTACTCAGTAGATAACATGATGGTATTCTGATGATGGTATTTTTTTCTTACACCTCATAGATAAAAACCATCGCTGTATATAGTTCTATATTGATTGTGCAGAGGCCTACCTACAATTAGTAGCGACATATGTGACGGCGTTACGGGTATTGAGTATCGATGTGGCAGTTGTTTGCAGCCCGTCGCTTGTAATGGGGCAACTCCAGTAGTGCTTCCAGTATGCACTCCAGGCACCGTAAGTTCAAGTGAAATATTTGAGGAATATATTTTGTATCGAGATATAAGTAACTTTAGTGCTGCTTTCACCTACTATACGTTGTTGATCACGAATAGCCTTAGTGTTCGTAGCGCATTGACAGTAGAAGATTAATTTACATTTGAAGATTAATTACTAGTTCTCATTCGTTTAAAAGTGTCTTTAATCAAGCCAAAAATAATCTGCTTCCAGTTACTTCGTCATCTAATTTTGTAATATCTTAAACTAAGAATTTAATGTCACACTTTATTTTCATGATCATTTCCATCATTAATGCAGTGTTTTTTGCAAAATATTAACTATCTAATTAACATTTTTATTGAAGATATGCTAAACTTTACTTAACTTTTGCATTTTTTGCTCATTAATTCTTAACCATCTATCTGCAGGTGTGTGAAGGTGTAGCGCAATGTGTTCCAATAGCGTCGGCCTCGGTATGCAAATGCGTCAGCGACATTTGCGACACTCACAACCACATGTACTCAGCCAAGTGCGACGCGGATGGCATCATCACCGACATAGAAGATTGTACAGGCGCCCTGACCAACCCGAGTTCTGGAGCCTGTGTGAGCGGCAGCTGCGTTGATTGTGACGGCTACGGATTGGCTGGACCGGAATATTTTGTAGTTCCACCCAAATGTTCCGTTGGATACCAATGTAATAATGGGGAAGTCGTTAACACTCATTCAGTGGTTTGCCCAGAAGGACAGTACGTGTCCAAAGTCGGCATCTGCGCTGATGCGCCCCCCAAACCTTGTGATTCAGCTAATTTATGCTCAATCAATGAACAATGCGCTGACCTAACGAACTGCAATCAGTACTACTACTGTGGTTCCGATGGGACACCAAACGGACCCTTCCAGTGCGCTCCAACCTATTACTTCGACCCGGACACACACTTCTGCTTGCAGGGAGATTCTCGTGTTTGCGACCCATGGACTCAGTGTTCCTACACTTAATTAGTAAGAGGCTGAGGTATCGCCGTCAGGCCACGTCGTGTCCTACGGAGATTCTTAACTATTTCTTTAAACTCACCTCCGAAAAGAATCACCTCCTAAAAACTCACCTCCTAAAAAATCACCTCCTAAATCAAATAGACAACTGAAATTTTGATTACTATTCCACCTACTTTCCTTTATTTCACATACTCAAAGATGAACTTTGTACATTTTGTATTTCAACTGTTATCAGTAAGGATAGCATTTTGCACCCCGTTGTTTGCGAAGCGCAACTTTTCTACCATTTTCTTGACGTACGCAGGTTTAACTTTTTATTCTTCATTGATCGGTATACCATGCACTTCTGAATCAGAATTCATGTGGTAGATATTATAAAATTTTACCAAAAAATTTTGTTAAGCTTCCGTAGATTAAAGATAATAAAATGTTCCGTTTTTGTATATTGGAAGTGGAAGAAGGTGCATATCTCGGTCCATAAGTCTTTGCGGTTGAAGAGTGACGTCTTCCCCTCCCATCTTCCTTAGTTCCCTTCTCCTCTTTTCAGTTGTTTTCTCGAGGCTGGTGACTTTGAAGGGCCGACGTTTCAATTACAGTCTTTGGTTGTCAACAGTCTACGTCAACTTGGTTGTGCTATCACGACACAAAATTGCTGTAAATTACGAACAAGTATTGTCAAAAAGGGTTATCAGTAAGAAAACAACCAATTTGATAATAGAGTAAAATTTATCCATGGCAGTTTAAATCCTATAAATAAACAAGTAGGCAAAATTCGTAGTAAATCGCCCGGTGATTAAAAATGTTAATTTTTATTTATACACAATAATGCAAACAAAATAAAGATAAAGTTCTTCTCAATAACAAGTAGGGGACTGTGTGCACGACGTGTGTGGGGAGTGGATGGGAAGTGTGCAGCCAGACGTAGGATGCCGACGCTAGAAGGAAGCCCGCGGACCAGAAATTTTACCGCGTGAGGCCGTTTGGTCTCGATGCTGCGTTCAGTGACCGTACTACATGATTCTTGACCCTCTACCGCCTGACTCGACTAACCACAGCAATATTGTCACACAAGCCTACCCTTTTGCAACCATCAATGCAAAATGACTTGCACTGATGGTTGCCGCCACGTACGACAACTTTAAAATGTTCTCTGTTGCGTACAAACGTCGTCAGCTTGCTACACTCAATAGTCTACGTTTAATTTAAGTTGACAGTTTATATGTTCCCGGAGAGTGGCATACGGCGGTAGAGGGTTAGGTATGGGAGCGGAGCGGAGTGTTCTAAAGGACTGGCTTTGAGAACTGAACCTGACATCCATTATTTTACTGACAGTCTCAGGCTCTGCGCTGAGCGTTAAGTACGAAATTGACTTAAAATTAGAAATCCCTTATGAATTTGCCTATGATGAATTTCACGATGTTTTGGTTTAACCTGTTGTTTCGATATGAAAGCGTGTTCGAGCACATGCCAAACTATTTACTAACAATCATTTAAAATGTAACGCAGCAGGCTTTTTCTTCTCAAACACAGATTAATACAAAAACATGTCTTTAAATTCTTGAGGAATATTTGTCATGGAACATCGAGCTAAGAAATTTCGGTTGCGAGAAGTTAATCTGACTACCATATTCAAAATGACTACGAAATACCCCTTTTTGTCTAAATACCGAGGTTCAACTGAAACATTAATCGATCAATAAGCGGAAAAAAAAGAAAAATTATTTCGAAAGAAGACGTGTAAAAATGAAATAAAATGTACGAGTTCATCAGTATCATAATAGAAAAATACATCAGCATGCACACTAAATTGCATCAGTTCATTCTCAAAAACTAGCTGAGGTCATAGCAAACGATTATCGTATAGCTTGAACATTCGCCAGAACCGTTTTGAAGAAAGATTAATCCAAATTGCCAATCAGACGGTAATAACCGGGATTAAAACTTAATTTTAATTATATTTTTAAATTTAAATAAATAATAAATATATTATAACGTCACTGATACCATGCATAACACAAACTTTTTTGAGCATCAAATGCACGGGACAACGAATCACGATGCAAAAAACTCAATAATAATTTAACTTAAGTGTCTTTTTATCCTCGGTGAATGATGGATAACATGGATAATTGTAGGGTAAATAACTTTTTGCAATCATGATGAATATGGCTCGACGAACTTGATCTTAATCTGTCCAGGAATCATTTTATTTCAACCCCCATTTACAGTGTAAGATTTGAGAATATACCAGCAAGGTATGAGTCCCTCAAGATCTAACGCATGTTTATTAAACGCTTGATCGTTCCAAACGCCCTAAGGTTCGGCTAAGGCGTGTGAGTCGTGTGACCAGACTATATATTCTTCTGTATTGACATGAGAGTAAACAATTAGAAAAAAGCCACTGGGCATTTTTTATGCCTAGTGGCTTCACTTGGGTTGGGTACGATGTACGCCCAACCCATTTCACCAGACTGCTCCGGAAATAAATTGACCGTGAAACAATGGGAAATTTTGTTGGGGAAATGAACAATGGGAAATCACGTCGAATCTTTGTTTCCCTCCTATTTCTTCTATTTAACTGCTATATTAGAAATATCGCACGTAAAAAACTAATAAACGCACGTAACATTAAAAAAATAATTGATAAAAATATTGTATTCTACTCAAAACGAACATACAGTATTCAACAACAAACATTCTTGGGACAGATTAATACTTCATAGCGTTACTCGATCTTCAACTTACTCGAATGGGGCGCCCTGGTCTTTCTAAAGTTTTAAAAAGGGAGTAGCGTAGCTGATGCGCTACTTGCAGCAACAGCAGAACAAACAAAAATCAGGTAGGGCCTATGCTCCTGAATACGGTTCCGTCCAAAACTAAAGGGATTATACATACGAAAACTTCACGTCGTACTAGCACTAGACGTGACATTTGGGCTTTACTCGATCGGCCCCTGACAAGCAAAGCTAAGGTGCTTTCACAGGAAATCTTCATGTCAATACTGAATATCATGAACCCAATCTAAATTTCCCTATTGAAGGTGTAGCATCATTAAACGGAAATGTGTCTGACAGTGAAAAATATCAACTTGTTTCATCTCTAAGCACCATCAGCTTGTTTTCTGAAAGACATCATGACTAGTTTACCACAGATCCAAACATGATCACACGCTTCATCTTTATGAGACTTAAAATAAGACCTCATCAGCAAAATGCTTGAAGTTTGCGTGAAAACAAGCGAGGATGTCTTTAATGAAAATATTAAAGAAAAGATGCCCTTAAGGACAGAGCACTGCGCTACACTCATATATCTACGTCTAATAAGTGAATTTGATTCGTTCAACGAAACAGAATGTTCTATTTTCGTGAGATATTACTGCATTAATGAATTGAAAGGCTATCTAGTGTCATAACTGTAAAGTTTACTCAGGAGAATTTAATGATTTACGACATGCAATGCCTTTTGCAAGTTAAGAAGAATAGCAACACAGTAGTCCCTTGGACGATATATCTTAAGCAGGTTTTGGACTAGGTAAAAGTTAGCCTTCGTCGTGTTAGTGCTCATACGAAAACCAGATTGATAATCAGATATTAATGAGAATTTCGTAAGAAAATTCACTAGTCAACATTGCAGAATTGTTGCGAAAATCTTTATACGAAACAGCAAGGAAGACATGGGACAATAGTTGCAAACCTTATCGGAGTCGTACAATTTAAGTATTTCAGTACCAAAGTGAATAAACAAATTCCTTGTATAAAAGAGAATTATAGCTACTACTCGCAATTTCAGTTTTTGGTTTTGTGTTGTTATTATTAAGTTTATGTTTTTATTATTAAGTTCTTGCATTATTATTTACTTATATTTTGCTCCTATCAGCTTAGCACGACGTAGAATGTGAGCAATAAAAATACCTGAATCTTCGAAATACCGTTCTGCCAGAGTCCGTCATTCCAAAACCCGTTAATAATATAAAGATCAGTTATCTTGATTAATAAAAGACCCGTTAAAGCCCTTATTTTACAT